GTCTCACTTATGTCTATTTAAATAAAAGGGAAGAATCAGGCCCATACCCGAGGTAGAATCAGAGGGAAGAACTCACAATGCTTTGCTCAAGCTGCTAGAGAATGTAAGTAGTTGAAACTAGATGTCCATCTAAATCAAGAAAGTAGTAGAAAGGAAAACAGAAAGATAGCAAAAGTTAATGAGATGGGAAAAAATCCACCAGAGATCAGCCATGTAAAACACTGGTTCTTTGAAAAGATTCAAACATTGATCCAAACATTGGTAAGCCTTCAGAAAGATGATTAAGAGTAAGTTAGGTAAGCCTTCAGTAAGATGAAAAAAAGAGAAGGCAAAAGCAAGCAATAACAGTAATGAAAGGAGAGACATAAATATGATGCTATGGGTCTTAAAGAGATACCAGGAATGTATTTTGACTATATCATGCCAATAAATTTGAAACCACATGAAATGGACAACTCCTTGAAAAATATGATGTACCGGACTAACCCAAAAACACCTAGAACATGTTCTATAATCTGTAAGAAATTAAATCAGAAGTCTAAAATCCTTCACTCTCAAATCCCATATCTGTTAGCTTTACTGGCAAGATCTACAGAACTCTGGTAAAGCCAATAACACCATCATACCCAAAGTTTCTCAGAATGTAAGGCCTGTATAACTATGGATCTGAAACCAGAGAAGAACAATGTGAGGGGAAAAAAAAGTTTTCTAATTAATATCACTAATGAACATATATACAAACTATTTAAATAAAATATTAGCAAACCAAATCTAGCAAGTTAGATTTAATTCACAAATGTGAGATTGATTTATCATTAGAAAATCAATTAAAATAACTCATCAGTTTAATAAATTGAAAAAAAACCTCATATGATCATTTCAATAGATGCATCCAAAAAATCATTTGTCAAAATTCAACATCATTTTATCATAAAATTCTCTTTGCAAAATAAAGATAGAAGGATACTCTATTGATCTGAAAAGGTCACTTGTGGAGAAAAAAAAAACTGTAGCAAATATCATTCTACATGTGAAATGTTAAATGCTTTCCTTTTCAGATGGGAACAAAGGGACAAGGATGCCTGAAATTGCATCTATTCAATATTGTATTGAAGGATCTAGCCAGTGCAGAAAAGCAAGGAAAAGAAATAAAAATTACAAGTATCAAGCAGAGAGAAACAAAATTGCCATTATTTACAGATAATAAAATTGTATCATAGAAATTCAAACAATCCTACAGACAAATTATTTTAATTAATAAAGGTGTTAGCAAAATTTTAAATCAAAATCAGTTTCTAGAAACTAGCTGTGTTTTGATATAATCAAAGAAACAAAAAGTTAATATCATTTACAATGTAATTTTTAAAGTGTCTAACAAAAATGCATGAGACTTTAATAGAGAAAACTGTAAAAACTTAATTAAAAATACATTAATGTAAACCAATCATCAATCAATTAAAAATAAATATTTTAAAAAACAGAATGGAGAGAGAACTGAAAAAATAAATAAAAATACATCTAGAATATCTAAATAGATGAAGAGCTATAGAATGTTCATAGATTGAAAGATTGAATATTGTTGCTATATAAGTTTCTCATATTGATTGATAGATTTAATGCAACTCAGATTAAAACCCTATACATATTTTGTAGGATGTGATAAGCTGATGTTCAAATGTATACAGAAATGCAAAGAATAGCCAAGACACTCGTGCAGATGATTCAGCTGAAAGAATTTTCCCCACTGTATGTCAAAATACCAAACAGGAATAGAGAAGTCACTAATGGAATTAACAGAGGACCCAGGGCAGACCCAATTACACATGGACATTTGATATATAATAAAACCAGCACTGTATTGGGGAAGGGATAAGCTTTGCAGTAAGTGATGCTGGAATAACTTGGTATCCATGGAGAAAAAATGTGAAATTGAATCCCTCCCTCTTACTATGGCTTCCCTGGTGGCTTAGATGGTAAAGAGTCTGCCTGCAGTGCAGGAGACCGGGATTCTATCCCTGGGTCAGGAAGATTCCTGGAGAAAGAAATGACAACCCACTCCAGTATTCTTGCCTGGAAAATCCCATGGACAGAGGAGCCCTGCAGGCTACAGTCCATGGGATTGCAAAGAGTCGGACCCGACTGAGTGACTTCACTTTCACTTCACTTTCACCTCTTACTGTATACAAATAAAAACTCCATGTATATTAACTCTAAATGTCCATTCATTTAAAAGAATCACTTATAAAGAAAATATAGGAAGCTCACAGTAAGGAAGAATTTCTTAAACAAGACAAAAAGTTTTAACCATAAAATAAAATACTAACAAATTTCCTGATAGTTAAACTAAGTGCCCAAGATAGTGAAAAGAGCCATCTCCTACAAATTAGGAGATATTTGTAACACATATAATCAAAGCTGTGTTTTGATATAATCAAAGAAACAAAAAGTTAATATCATTTACAATGTAATTTTTAAAGTGTCTAACAAAAATGCATGAGACTTTAATAGAGAAAACTGTAAAAACTTAATTAAAAATACATTAATGTAAACCAATCATCAATCAATTAAAAATAAATATTTTAAAAAACAGAATGGAGAGAGAACTGAAAAAATAAATAAAAATACATCTAGAATATCTAAATAGATGAAGAGCTATAGAATGTTCATAGATTGAAAGATTGAATATTGTTGCTATATAAGTTTCTCATATTGATTGATAGATTTAATGCAACTCAGATTAAAACCCTATACATATTTTGTAGGATGTGATAAGCTGATGTTCAAATGTATACAGAAATGCAAAGAATAGCCAAGACACTCGTGCAGATGATTCAGCTGAAAGAATTTTCCCCACTGTATGTCAAAATACCAAACAGGAATAGAGAAGTCACTAATGGAATTAACAGAGGACCCAGGGAAGACCCAATTACACATGGACATTTGATATATAATAAAACCAGCACTGTATTGGGGAAGGGATAAGCTTTGCAGTAAGTGATGCTGGAATAACTTGGTATCCATGGAGAAAAAATGTGAAATTGAATCCCTCCCTCTTACTATGGCTTCCCTGGTGGCTTAGATGGTAAAGAGTCTGCCTGCAGTGCAGGAGACCGGGATTCTATCCCTGGGTCAGGAAGATTCCTGGAGAAAGAAATGACAACCCACTCCAGTATTCTTGCCTGGAAAATCCCATGGACAGAGGAGCCCTGCAGGCTACAGTCCATGGGATTGCAAAGAGTCGGACCCGACTGAGTGACTTCACTTTCACTTCACTTTCACCTCTTACTGTATACAAATAAAAACTCCATGTATATTAACTCTAAATGTCCATTCATTTAAAAGAATCACTTATAAAGAAAATATAGGAAGCTCACAGTAAGGAAGAATTTCTTAAACAAGACAAAAAGTTTTAACCATAAAATAAAATACTAACAAATTTCCTGATAGTTAAACTAAGTGCCCAAGATAGTGAAAAGAGCCATCTCCTACAAATTAGGAGATATTTGTAACACATATAATCAACAGATTACCTCTAGAATATATAAAGCTTCTACAATAAGAAAAAGACAAACAATTAAATAGAATCATGAACAAAATATTTGAGCTTGCACTTTAGAAAAAAAAGATATCCAAATTGCCAATGACTATAAAAAGAAGCTTATTGGGCATTAGGGAAATTCATTAAAACCATAGTGAGATATGCCATTACACATCTATCAGATAGACAAATATTTATAAGTCTGATAATACCAAGGACTGGCAAGGATGAGCAAGAACTCACATTCACTGCTATTGGGAGGCATAAAAGGAAACCACTTTGGGAAACAGTTTAACAACACCTAATAAAGTTGACTATGTTCCTATCCTTCAACCCCACAACTCTACCCCAGGGATTACACCCTGGGGAAACGCATATGGACCTAGTGAGACATGTACAAGAAGGTCCACAGTAACTTTGTTTTTAAGAGCCCCAGACTCAAATCAGCCTACATGTTCATGAGCAATAGAATGAATAAACAGCTGTGGAACACTGGTCCTCAAAGAAAACCAGTGAACCACAGCCACACAGAATAACAATGGAGATGTTTCTCAAACAGGATATTTAACAAAAGAAGCAAGTCACCTAAGAAAATATCTACCGTTTCTATTTTACAAAGAGTTCAAAACTGGACAACACTGAACAACATATTATTCAGGGATAGACGCATAGGTTGTGTTTCACTTATTTATCGCTGTGAAAACAAACCATGCAAAAACTTGGTAGATTAAGACATCAGTGATTCTATGTGCTCACAATCCTGTGTGTCAGAGATTTGCACAGATCACACCAGGAATGGCTCATATCTGCTCTACGCAGTCTGGAACCTCAGTTGGGGTGACTCAGACATCTGGGGCAGACTGGGACCGCTTAATTGGCAATTGAGGAGGGGTCGGGGCACATAAGTATAGAGCTTTGGCTACCTTGGGCTTCCTGACAACATGGTGGTCTCGGAGTTTCAAGAAGAAATATTCCAGAAGAACCCATCCAATGTTCAGTTCAGTTCAGTTTAGTCGCTCAAATCATCTTTTAGGATTTGAAATAGCTCAACTGGAATTCCATCACTTCCACTAGGTTTGTTCATAGTGATGCTTCCAAAGGGCCACTTGACTTCCCATTCCAGGATATCTGGCTCTAGTTGAGTGACCATACTATTGTGGGTCATGAAGATCTTTTTTGTATAGTTCTTCCCAATGTTCAAGCATTTGTCAAATCTTTGTTTCAGTTCAGTTCACTCACTCAGTGGTGTCTGACTCTTTGTGACCCCATGAACTGCAACTCACCAGGCCTCCCTGTCCCTCAACTCCCAGAGCTTGCTTAAACACATGTCCATTGAGTAGGTGATGCCATCAAACAATCTCATCCTCTGACGTCCCCTTCTCCTCCTGTCTTCAATCTTTTACAGCATCAAGGTCTTTTCCAATGAGTCAGGGCCCAAAGTATTAGAGCTTCAGTTTCAGCATCAGTCCTTCCAATCATGCTTATTACTGTTCCATCAGCCAAATCAACTCATACGGAGACAGATCCAGAAGTCAGCCTGCTAGGGGACTGCACCAGGGCTGATTACAGGAAGCCATGGTTCACTGGGGGGCCACAAATATAATGCTCCACCACAGCTGGCAAAGTGAAAGAATAATTTTCTCAAAAGTAATGGCTACCTTTAGGAAGAAAGGGGGATCTGATTAGGCAGAAGCATAAAGGGAGTGTCTAAAACATTGGCAATGTTCTATTTCTAAATGGATGGGTAATTAACACAGAGTTTACTTTATTCTTCTTCTTTAAAATATCAGTTCCACATGACACAGAATTATGCAAGCATTAAAATTTACATTTGTATACTTGAAATAATCTACAATGGAATGCTGACATACTTCATTAAGTGAAAAACAGAGAGATATATATGTATATTGTAAAGATCCCAACCATGTACCAGAAATGTTGGAAAGAATAACTTTCATGCCACTGTTTGATTTAAGCTTTCTTTTTATATTTTCCTATGTTTTCCAAATTTTCTTCTTCTATATTTCTATATGTCTATATTTTCTATGCTTTCCAATATTAAACTCAAGGCTTTTAGAATCAATAAGACTTTATGGAGGTAAAAAATAAGAATTACCGCTCCCACAAAGTGAGGGATACCAGTAACCTCTGCACTTCCTTTGGTAGTTTCAGGCAGAAGTTAATTTCTGGTGCCTGAGGTATCCCGGGCTCTTCAGAATAGGCTCTGATAAAAATTAAATCAGAACCACTTGAATTAGTTCTCAGTCATGAATAGTACTGCCAAGTGCTCGATTTTGGTTCTCCAATGGAAACTGTCAGTCAGAGAGGGAAAGGGGCAGAAGGGACAGAGAGTGATGAATTAAGGTGTCTTGCAGCCTCTCTATTTTGAATCATGAGATAACAAGAATTTGGCAGCGTGGGCTTTTTCTGCAGGTCATCTACAAATGTTCCTTCTCCTCTGACTTATAATTGGAGGAAGTTAACTTGAAGACCTATGGGAAGTTACAGAGGAGGAGGGGAAGGCTGCAATAACCTAATAAATTAAGAACTTGAAACTCTGATCTCCAACTTACTCACTGCATGGCTTTGTACACGGTACTTAACCTCTTTGTGCCTTAGTTTCCCCATATCTAAAATGGGGCCATAATAATGCTACCCCACAGGGTTGCTGTGAGGATTAAATGAGATAATACATGTAAAGTGCTTGGCACAGAGCTTGACTCATCAAAAGCCTCCAGTGAACAGCTCTTCCCACTGCTGCTCTGCATGAGGCATTCACACATGTCAAAGCAGACATTAACACATGGTATAAAATGGGCCAGCTCTCCAAGAGCTAACATACATTGACTACCAACTATCACATATAAGCCTCACGATACCTGGGAATTAGATGTTATTATTCCCATTGTACAGATGGAAAAAGAAATGGAAGATCTGAGGTCCCGGCCAAAGCCACAGAGTTCCTGAACAGTAGAGCAGATCCTCCCCAAATGTCTGATTTCAAGCTTGCTCACGTCCTTCCTCTTGATGGGCGGGCTCCTGGTATGGTTGGAGCTAGTGATGGTTAAACTGCCTCACCCAGAGGAGCCGAGTGACTTATCTCATCACCTGCCCTCAAACGTCCCTGGAGAAGAGAAATTGGAAAAGAGCATTTCCCCCAATGTTCACAAAAACTCTGCATAAAACAAAACAAAACAGTCCCCCCAACCAGAGTAAGAAATCCTCCCCAAATACTTCATTTTACACCTGTAAGGAATGTCATTTCCCAGTATTCCCTTTCTCAGCCTGAAGCACATTGTCAAATCCTTCGGTTTTTTATGCAAAGGACTCAGGGAATTCAGGTTTTCCTGGGTGCTTTTTCCTCCAAGGAGCAGATTCTGCACACTGGAATGAATAGGCTTCAAGTTACACAAGCAGCAAGGCTAACATCTTCTGCTAATAATGCTGCAAGCGGTTCAAGCTCCCAATGGGCTATTATTTCATAGGAAGATTTTACTATACTCAGAGTCTCAAAAGTACTTGACTGATCTGAATTAATTAAGCCACATAAACCTCCTGAGAGGCAGAGAGAAGGCAAGGGGAAAAAAAAGAGGAGGGAGAATGATGGGAAAGTTTTTCCTGATACTGAGACAAACCTCCCCCAGGGGCTGGTAATATTACAGGAGGTGAACCTCACTACACCAGCCAATGAAACTCCAGGGAATTTACAAATCATTTGTAATGAAAGAAATGCCATTGATGTAATTAAAATATTGGAATCATAAACAGTTAGAGCTCAGAAGATCCTTAGAGATCACCTGGCACAACCCTTCATTTTAAGACTAAAAAAGCTGGTCGTTTCAGTCGTGTCTGACTCTCTGCGGCCCCATGGACTGTAGCCCGCCAGGCTCCTCTGTCCATGGAATTCTCCAGTCAAGAATACCAGAGTGGGTTGCCATTCCCTTCTCTAGAGGATCCTTCCAACCCAGGGATCAAACCTGGGTCTCCTGGATTACAGGCAGATTCTTTATAATCTGAGCCACGAGGGAAGCTGACTAGCACAGAAGGTAGATCTTCTGATCCTCAGAATCTTTCTGGCTACTGGTGATGAGCTAACTGGTACTTTTGATAAATGCTCCCTGCAGCCGGAGGGCGGTGCCCAAACCAACTTCCCCCAAGACCAGGGGGCCCAAAGGCTGCAGATGCTTCATAGAGTGCCCCACGAGCGGCACCTCAGCACAGCCTACTTGGCAACTGAATGAAAACATTTGTCAGCCAAGGACAAGGCCACTCACTCCCTTTGTTCCAGTAAAAATGAGAGCAGCAGGGACAAGGTATCTCTGCTAGAGCACATTCCCCAAGTGCCCCTTGACCCCAGAATGCTTCTTCAGGATGCCAGGAGATTAAGGCACTGTGTGTCTTCAGGACTCTTCTCCCAGGAGTCCCAACCCCTAGCAGCTAAGCTGGGTGCTCACCCACACCTTTGGCATGATACCCACAAACACATTAGCCCTTCTAGACCTCTCCTAGGGCTAGTTTTCACTGAGTACTCTATGAATGCCTTTCCATGTGTTAGTCGCTCAGTCGTGTCCAACTCTTTGCGACCCCACGGCCTGTAGCTTTCCATGTACGTACACATAGATGAGCTGGCTGCACAGGTGGCTCAGCAGTAAAGAAACCACCTGCCAATGCAGGAACTGCAGAAGACATGGGTTCAGTCCCTGGGTTGGGAGTATCCTCTGAAGGAGGGAATGGCAACCCACTCCTGTATCCTTGCCAGGATAACCCCGTGAACAGAGGAGCCTGGAGGGCTACAGTCCGTGGGGTCACAAAGAGTCAGACAGGACTGAGCAACTGACCACACACCCATATTTAGATTAAATGTTGCATTTTTAAATGACTACATGACATTTTACTGCATGGATACAATGGAGTTATATCAGCAAGTCTCCCTTTATTGTTTTCAATTTAGGGTCCTTCCCATTTTTCACAATTGAAAACAGTACGGAAATGATCAGGACATCCCTGGTGAGCAAGTGGTTAAGAATCTGCCTTCCAATGCCAGGGATGGGGGTTCAATTCCGAGTCAAGGAACTAAGACCCCACATGCCTCAGAGCAACTGGAGAGCCAGCGCTCCGCAGCTAGAGAAGGCCGGCACACTGCAACGGAACACAAGTGCAGACAAAATTTAAACAGGAAGTGACCGTCTACACAAGCACTTTTGATCATTTCTGTTGGATGAAGTGAAGGGAAGTCGCTCAGTCGTGTCCGACCCTTTGTGACCCCACGGACTAGAGCCTACCAGGCTCCTCCGTCCATGGAATTTTCCAGACAAGAGTACTGGAGTGGCTTGCCATTTCCTTCTCCATTCTATAGGATAAATTCTTGCAAATGGAGTTGCCAAGTCAAAGAATATGGACGTTTAAATGGCTTTTGATATAATCTGCTAAATTTCTCCTCTACAGAAGAGTGTTGTCAGAACGGTTTCTGAGGTGACTAATGACTTCAAGTAATTTCCCTGCATTTCATTCAGCTTCATTCCAAAAGAATTTGACTTATAGCCTAGTCAAATACCAAATGGTATGTTTACCAAAAGTCTGAAGAAGTTGGACAACTTTCTGTAAGCTGTGACAGTTTCAAAGAGATGAGGACAGACCACTATTGGAAGCAGTGAGATAAAGAGATTTCGTCATTATTATGCATTTTAATTTTTATGAAGATGTCCTTTTCTTTTTGTAAGTTTCTAGTTTTGGATAGTAATTATTTCTGCATGGTGAAATTGTGGGCTAGTATTATTCTTTATTTTGCATTTTGGCATTTTAATATTTTTAAATGTCCCTTTAATACTAGTAACAGAATTTCTCCACTTCAGCACTACTGACATTTTGGTCCAGATTACTGGGGGTAGAGGCTGTCCTACATGGCAGAGGACATTTATCAGGGACCCTGGCACTTACCTATCAGAAGATAGTAGCACAGCTGGTTGTGACAATCAAAAGTGTCTCTGCTGCTGCTGCTAAGTCGCTTCAGTCGTGTCCGACTCTGCGTGACCCCATAGACGGCAGCCCTCCAGGTTCCGCTGTCCCTGGGACTCTCCAGGCAAGAACACTGGAGTGGGTTGCTGTTTCCTTCTCCAATGCATGAAAGTGAAAAGTGAAAAGTGTCTCTAGATATTTCCAAATATCTCCTGGGGGTCACAAATACCCCCAGTTGAGAATCACTGTACCAGTACAATAGACAATATTAAAAATAATAATAAACCTTGTAGTACCCTGAAACACTCCCACTGGAGTATTATCTTCTCATTTCTTTTCAACAATCTTTGAAGGTGGGTACTATTATGAGCCTTTTACCTATAAGGAAGTTGAGAACAGAGAGGTTGAGTAATACGTCCAAGTTTACACAGTTAGAAAGCACAGCAGCCCACAGTGGAACACAGGCAACTCCAGAGCTTCTGTTCATAATCCTTTTTCTGAAGCTGTCTCTCTTTGAAAGTTTTTTTAAAAGACTGTTTATAGCCATTAATTTTTTCCAGAAAAATCTTTAAAAATATTTTTAAACACATACAGCAACATAATGAAGATCTGAATGTTGTTGTTTAGTTGCTAAGTCGTGTCTAATGCTTTTGCGACCCCATGGACTGTAGCCCACCAGGCTCTTCTGTCCATGTGACTTCCCAGGCAAGAATACTGGAGTGGGTTGTCATTTCCTACTGCAGGGGATCTTCCCCACCCTGGGGTCGAGCCCATGTCTCCTGCATTGGCAGGTGAGTTCTTTACTCTGATCCACCAGGGAAGCCCAAACATCTATATACTCATCACCTAAGTTTAATAACTATCAAGACCTTGCTATACTTCATTTGTTCGTTACTTTCTCTGTCTCTCTGTCTGTCTCCTTCCTATTCTTTTTCCTTCCCATTCTCCTTTCCTCCTTTCAATTAAATATGTCATTTCATCCCTTACATAGTTCTAACCACTGTGAGTATTTTCTTATATAACCATAATCCCTATCACACCTAACAAAATTAACAATCATTTGATGTCAATACATATTCAAATTGCCCTGATTATCTCAAAAACATTCTTGAAAATGTCCAGCCTTGGACATTGTAAAAGAAGGATGAAGCAGTGTTTCCCACATATTGTGAATTCTACAGGGAAGAAAGTTGTACTCACACAAATATGTTTCATAGGAACTCTTTGCATGGTTTGGGCTGAAAATGAAAGGAAGATACACAGCCCATAACAGCAAAGATCATATTTCTGGTTTTCAGATATGAGTCCTGATATGCAAAGAAATGCCAAAGAATGTTCAAATTACCATACAATTGCACTCATCTCACATGCTAGCAAAGTAATGCTCAAAATTCTCCAAGCCAGGCTTCAACAGTACGTGAACTGTGAACTTCCAGATGTTCAAGCTGGTTTTAGAAAACACAGAGGAACCAGAAATCAAATTGCCAACATCCATTGGATCATCAAAAAAGCAAGAGATTTCCAGAAAAGCATCTATTTCTGTTTTATTGACTATGCCAAAGCCTTTGACTCTGTAGGTCACAACAAACTGTGAAATTGTTAAAGAGATAGGAATACCAGACCACCTGACCTGCCTCCTGAGAAATCTGTATGCAGATCAAGAAGCAACAGTTAGAACCGGACACGGAACAACAGACTGGTTCCAAATTGGGAAAAGAATGTGTTGAGGCTGTATATTGTCACCCTTCTTATTTAACTTCTGTGCAGAGTACACCATGAGAAACGCTGGGCTGGAAGATGCACAAGCTGGAATCAAGATTGCCAGGAGAAATATCAATAACCTCAGATATGCAGAAGACATCACCCTTATGGCAGAAAGCAAAGAAGAACTAGAGTCTCTTGAAAGCGAAAGAAGAGAGTGAAAAAGCTGGCTTAAAACTCAACATTCAAAAAATGAAGATCGTGACATCCAGTCCCATCACTTCGTGGCAAACAGATAGGGAAACAATGGAAACAGAGATAAGCTTTATTTTGGGGGTTCCAAAATCACTGCAGATGGTGGCTGCAGCCATGAAATTGAAAGACGCTTGCCCCTTAGAAAAAAAGCTATGACCAACCTAGACAGCATTTTAAAAAGCAGAGACATTACTTTGCAGGCAAAGGTCCATCTAGTCAAAGCTATGGTTTTTCCAGTAGTCATGTATGGATGTGAGAGTTGGACTATAAAGAAAGCTGAGCACCGAAGAGTTGATGCTTTTGAACTATGGTGTTGGAGAAGACTCTTGAGACTCTTGGACTGCAAGGAGATTAAACTAGTCCATTCTAAAGGAAATCAGTCCTGAATATTCAATGGAAGGAGTGATGCTGAAGCTGAAGCTGCAATACTTTGGCCACCTGACGTGAAGAGCTGACTCCTTGGAAAAGACCCCGATGCTGGGAAAGATTGAAGGCAGGAGGAGAAAGGAATGACAGAGAATGGGGTGGTTGGATGGCACCACCGACTCCATGGACAGGAGTTTGAGCAAGCTCCGGGAGTTGATGATGGACAGGGAAGACTGGCGTGCTGCAGTCCATGGGGTCACAAAGAGTCAGACATGACTGAGCGACTGAACTGAACTGATGCAAAGGAACACAACTGATGGCTAAAGTTAATTGTAATAACAGCAGGGAACTGGGCTAGCCTTCAGACTTTCTCTACTCAGCTTTCTCAAGCATATTTATGATTTTGTTTTAGTGCTTGTTATCCCATTCAAAAGAAAACCACAGAAGCCCTGACTCTTCCTTTTTGTTGACCTTGAAACACAGTGGAAATTCTTCACAGCTCTGTGCTTAAAGACTGGCCCCAAGGAAGTGCAGACAGCTCAAACTGGTCTTACTGTATCTGAAGCCAGCAAATTGATGAGTGAACAGGATTCTTTGGGGGGTAGAGGGGAGGTCACTGGGAACTACTGCTCCCTCTGCACCTACAGTGCCCCCCGCTGGAGTGGGTCAGGGGCAATAGGCAGGGCCCTCCTCATAGTTTTCTACAGTTGCTTAGTGGCTTAAAATAGTACACATTTATTCTCTTACAGTAATGGAGGTAGGAAGCCCAAAAGCAATTTCACTGGGCCACAATCGAGGTGTTGGCAGGGCAGTCCTCTTATGGAAGGATCTATTTTCTTGCCTTTCAAGCTTATAAAACTGCATTCTGGGGAATTTCCTGGTGGTCCAGTGGATAGCACTCTGTGCTTCCACTACCGTGAACCCAAGTTGGATCCCTGGTCAGGGAACAAGGATCCCTCAAGCTGTCTTGGCTCATGGGCCTTCCCTCCATCTTGGAAGCCAGCAGTGTAGCATCTTGCTTCAGTGCTCACACTGCCTTCTAATTCTGGGTCACATCTCCCTCTGTCTCCCTCTTAATTTCTTTTTAAAATGTGTTTATTTTTTAATGACTGTGCCGCACAGCATGTGAGATCTTATCTCCCTGACCAGGGATCAAACCTAGGCTTCCTGCAGGGGGGAGTATGAGTCTTAACCACAGGACCATGAGGGAAATCCCTGCCTCCTTCTTTAATGAATCTTGTGATTACACTGAGCCTACCAGGAAAATCCAAGATAATCTCCCATCTCTGATCCTTAATTTAATCACATCCACAAAGTGGTTTTTGCATTATAAGGAAATATTCACGGGATTAGGACATATATTTGGGGGCCACTATTCAACCTACCATGCTCCTCTTGAGAACAACTCATTTTGAAAGCAACACTACTTATGTTTTGAGACCAAAAAGCCTTTGAAGTGTGTTTTTCATTTATCACAACCATCCTTCAAGGTAGGCAAGATTCTACAAGGAGCAAACCCTGAAAGCAGGGAGTTAAGTGCATGTACTTTGTTTAGATGGTGATCCTCAAAATCACAGAGTGTGAGGAAGCGAAGCAGGAGGGGGAGGAAGCCAACAGAGGGTGAAGAATCAAGCTGCCATCACCGTGGGAAGTGGAGCTCAGTCCCCTGGGAGACTCAGAGAGACAGTACAGAGACCTCGGTTATTCTTCTGGGGGCTGAAGAGGCTCCCCAGCTCCCCAGGCCTCCTATATGGAGGTCTGCGTTGGGGATATTCGCTCTCCAGCACTTCCAGCTGTCCTTGCCCTTGCAGCCAGTGTTCCCCTGAAGCTAGGAAGAGACCTCAGAATCACAGGCATCTTCGGGAAGCAGCCAAAGTGGGGAAGTAAATACCCGAGGGGTTGGCCAGACCACCAGCAGTGTCTACTAGGATCCACAGATACCAAGGAGACTCAGTCACTCTTTCACCAAACATGTGTGGAGTGCTTGCTTCCTCCGGGCCCCACCATGCACCAGGTGCTGCAACTTGCAAATGAATGAAGCTCTCTGCTCCTGTGTACACTGTGTACAGTATGTAGAGACAAGTTCTCATACATGGCAGTAAACGCTAGGCCAGAACTCTAAGTGCTTGCGCCTGGTACAGAAAGAGCTGGCAATAAAAATTGGCTTTTGGAAATAAAGTATCATAAAGTGCATAAGATAGGCCCTAGGGCACAAATGTCTCTCTTCATCATCAGAACCAGACAACCAACTAAGGCACAGAGATGAAATAGGGCAAAATACAATACCAAGTGACTAGACCAAGGTCATCTAGCCTGTGAACAACATAGCAGAATGTTGAACGACAGGACGATAATCCGCATTGGTTGATTCCTAAGCCAGGAACCACCCCACCTAAGTCTCTGAGATAAGACCTAACACCTCTAGGAGATAAGACCTAGGACCTCGGACCTTTCTGGTGGTCCAGTGGTTAAGAATCCACCTTTCAATGCCGGGGACGTGGGTTCCAGCCCTGTTCAGGGAAGATCCTCCATGCCACAGGCCAACGAAGGCCACGGACTCTGGAGTCTGTGTGCTTCAGCTACGGTGCCCCTGTGAAACAGCTAAAGACTTCATGTGGTTTAGTCGCTAAGTCGTGTCCAACTCTCTGACCCCATGGACTGTAGCCTGCCAGGCTCCCTCGTCCATGGGATTCTCCAGGCAAGAATACTAGAGTGGGTACCCATGTCTCCCTTCAGGGG